TTCTCCTGTAAAGTTATCATTTTGGAGATACGAGGTTTTCTTCTTTCAACAACAGCAAGATATACACATGTATTTTAAGACCGTATCATGGTGTTATATCTTAATTGTCACCTCATAGCCAACCAAAAGCCATAGTCACTGAGCTACCTACTGCTGTAAGCTAGGCTAATCCATTGTTCTGTATGTCTGTGTCTCTACCTCTAGAGCCAGGTGTCTCCCTTCCTGCAGCAGGTCTTTATGCCGTTGGTACTGGCAATTTTTGAGGTGTTATCTCGGCCTGCAGAAGACAACGACCAAACTGCAGCCCTTGAGAAGCAGATGTTGAGAAGGAGTTACTTCAGCTTCATCCAGACTATTGCCAGCAGCGGCATGAATGAAGTCATGGCCAACCAAGGTGAGAAGCCACACACATAGTGAAACATTTATGTAGAAAGCTCTACATTGCAAATGCAAATTTAGCATAGTATAAAAGGTGTAGTAACTTTCTTTTTTTCCATTTATTTTCATTATTTATTTATTTTTATGCCAGGTGCAGAAAATATTGAGCGTGTGCTGTTCACAATCATCCAGGGAGCGGTTGACTTTCCTGACCCTGTCGCCCAGAAGACCTGTTTCATCATCCTCTCTAAACTAGTGGAGCTCTGGGGTACTTGGAACGCTCAAATGTTTTTGCTGATCATGTCAAGTCAGATCAGATTGAGGCTACCTTAAGAAACATCAGTGAAACACTAGTTCACCTGCTTAGGTTTATAGCTTTACTTGGTATATAGACCTGTGGTCATTTGGTGGAATTAATGATTGTCTGTATATGAATGTGAAAAAACTGGTTACATTTGCTTGGTTGCTGCTAAGCTGTATATCAGTTATGAAGGGAGAATGTAAGTAACTACCTTCTTAAACAAAGTCTTATATTGTTATTTGGAGCTAAATAGGCCTTGGAAAAGAAGGATTTTGTTGTACAGTTTTCTTTTAGAGGTTATACTAAAATTGGTACTTTCAAATGGGATTTCACATACATATCCATTTCAGTTTACTAATGGTAAGAATTGGCGGGGGGGGGATTAAAAGGTCACAGCCCTAATTAAAGGTTATAACTAATGTCGTCTTTTTTTTTCTTTTCTTTCTAATTAATTTGCTCAGGTGGTAAAGATGGTTTGGTTGGGTTTCCAGACTTTATCTACAAACACATTGTCCCAGCCTGCTTCCTGGCCCCTCTCAAACCAACCTTTGACCTTTCAGATGCCCAGACTGTCCTGGTAAGTCTTTTTTAGGCTTCTATAATAAACGGGTGTGACACCCAGATACAGATTAAGGTGTTCTGCTACTTTGCATAAACTACATTGCAAACTCTTGCATTTCAGACCTTATCTGAGTGTACACTGACGCTGAAAATGATTCATCTCAAGAGGGTGAGTCATAGTTTTTTTTTGTTTGTTTTTTTTCTTGCTTAGAAGTACAGTAAAGCCAGTAGTGTTGAGTGCTCAGAGTGACAAAATGCTTTATGAGTGGATACAGACCTTACTGTAGTGCCTCTGTTAGTCTGATGTCTTGCAGTGGCAAGGTCTTAGTAAAGACCTCTTAATCTTTCCTCAAGTTAATTGGGTATTTGACTGTCAACATCACAAATATTAACAAGAGAAGTGTGTGTGTGTGTGTGTGTATATGTATGTATGTATGTATGTATGTATGTATGTATGTATGTATACACTCACCTTTTTTGACATTTTTACAGCATTTGTCTTTTCTCTCCCCCCAGGGTCTGGAGTTTGTTCAGTTCTTGCAGCAGGAGTACTTGCCCTCTCTACAAGTCTCACCTGAAATCACACAGGTACTTGACCAGGGGGTATTTCACATAGCAGGATTTCTCAGTTTAGCCAGATAACATAAGCCCAAAGTCAAGGTTGTCTAATAGGAAAAGGGACATTCCTAGTGGACAGTCTTCATCTTTGGGTTTAAGTTATCTGGGTAACTGAGACATTCAGCTTTGTGGAATACCCCCCCAGACCTGTTCCAAATCCCACAATAGTCTCTCCCTTTTTCTTTTCTTCAGAGATGCTGTTTGCTTTCTTTTTTAAGAATGTTGTTTATAGTCTATTGTTTTTGTAAGTCATGCATTGTCTTTGAATGGAGCCTGGCTAGTGTTCTGATCTCTCTGCTGTTAATATCTCCTTTTCAGGAACTCTGTCAAGTGCTTCAACAACCAGATACCAAGGTTCTGAAAAACTACATGAAGGTATTTCCAACTAATAAAACACATTGTTTTGTAACTTCTTGTTGTCTCTTCAGACTTCTTAAATATTCATTTGAACTTCAGCTGTTTAACTCCATCTCTCTCTCCCCTCAGGCATTCTTTCAGCGAGCCAAACTGTAAAAAAACTGGAAGTTAAAGGGTTACAGAAACTCCAGTCCGCGGGGACAAAAGTTGTCAGTGCCACTTACAGTACAACATAAAGACAGAGCTTAGCATAGGCTGCTTTTGCACTTAAAGAGAGAAGCTTAACCACGCCCATCCCTGGTGTAAGGGAAATGGTGCCGAAACAGGACTCTCACAAGGATGAGCTATCACAACGGTGACCACAGCCCTCCAGTGACCTAGGCCCAGTCAGAGTCGTGTTCATGTGGATTTGACCTCCTGGCGTGGGGAAGGATGCCCATGATCGGCCAACGTGACGTGGCAGAAAGCTAGTGGGAGACTGTGGAAGGGGCTTTGATCGAAGAGAAAAGTCTGTCCCAACTTCACCCTTTCCTACCTAAACGAGGAAAAAAATTTTGGCGCTTGAAAATATGAAACTATCTCAGTAATATTTTGTATTTGTAAGTGTTTTCTTGGTTTAAAAAAAATCTGTAGGGAGTTTAAAAAACTGTAGAGAATTTAAAGATATGGAGATATTTTTGTTCGACTGGTTGAAAGAAGGTTTCATTAATGAATTGGAGCAAAAGAAGGGCTGGTTTGAGACAATTTTATTTAATGACTGAGTTGATTTTTCCTTTTACGTTCTAGAAGGGAAGTATTTAGGTTTTACTTTGAATTGATTGGGAGGAATATGAAAGTGCTCTTGATCCTGGCCTGGGTCCTGGGTCTGAAACATTCTTTTGTCCCATTCTTGTCAGAGGTGAACCGTTGAATGATCAGAATCTGCTTCTCTTTCTGATTTGTAAAATAAATATTTTTTTTGTTGATGGCATGTTAAATGCAGTGTAACCCACTTAAACTGTACAGTCCCTCACTGTGCTGTCTTAAAGCAGTTAGACCTCATCACTTAACAGCGGAACACTAAACGAATAGCAAACCTGACAAAAAAATAATAAATCAAGGGAAATGACATTATGCAGACATCAAATGACATTTTAACATCCATTTTAAAGCTCCTATGAATTATGCAAGCCAGCTTTTTTTTAATCCTACATTCTGGTTAAAATCTCCATTTGTACATTACTGCCAGTCTGAGGGCTCAGCTAGTGTTTCTGTGGCTGCAGTGCTATGGGTGATGTTTCAGCTGCTGTGACATTTCAGTGTTGGCCAGCAGGGCTGTTTAGTGCTGTAGAGGAAGAGTTTTATGATGCAGACTGCATGTTGAAATTGCACAATGGTCCAAAAAAATCAAAATTAGTGGATTCTAACTCAAAGTAAGAAAAACTGTTTAAAACTTAATAATAATGGGCAGGATTAGAAGTTGTCTGAGCAGATGGTGTCTTTCACTGTGTTTACAAGAGTGAAGCACATGGAAAATTCTGCTTTATAAAAGCTTAGGTTGAATGAAGCTTGATTTAAAACATGCAGTTTGCAATGATCCATGCGGTTTGTATTCAGTTTAATGTTGGCCTTGTGTCTTGAAAAACAACAATATCAAACTGATTTCAAATCCTGTCTTTGCAAACCCAAACTGTGTAACATGACCGAGTTGCATAGGGGTTACAAGAAAACGGGCGGGTCGGGGCAGCATCATAAATCTGAATGGTTCTGTAAGGCAGAGGTGACAATCTTCAGGTGAGGGTTAGGACTGAGTCTTGTAGCCCCTTCTAATGAATACATATTGGTCCTTAATGCAAGCCATGTATTCTGTATAAAACTGGTTTGATTTGATTCCTGGGTTCTGCTCAAAATGTCTCAAAGAATAAAGTTTTATGCTCTTTTTCATATTCCTCAATTATTTTTCCTAATCACTGTTATTGGTCTCAATTCATACTAACCATTGTGTCATATGTGCTGAATCACTGGATTTAAAAAAACAAAAAAAACAAATACCATGTCTTTTCCTGAACATCCCCCAGAACATGAAATGGGGTAATCTAGCAGGAAATATAGTACTCCATATCTCCATCCTAGCAGCACAATTCTGTTTGAATATTCTCAGTATTCTTGTAAAATTGTCAACAAGGCTGTGTGATTTTTCAAACTCTGAGCTGTGCATTACTGTATATTCATATCACTTGTTTTGCTGTATGATGTGTGAAGCAAAATGATTCAAGCTCACATACAACACTGTATCCAGGTTTGTGTTTCTGCGGTTTGTTCATGTAGACTCACGGTTCTAGAGTAATACTACATATCACACTCTCTGGGTTAAGTCCTTGTTGAGCAGCTCTTTTAGACGTTATGCTGTCTGCTAATGTATATCCTGACAGCTTATCAACAAATTATTGTTTTGACAGCAGCACGCGTTTCCCCTGTATTTACCAGCACTGGTAGAACGCAGCTGAACCACCTCGCATCCTGTATCTAACATTTGCGCAGCCCTCAGCAGCAGTCCAATCTTAAAGCAATGAAGAGTTATGCCAAATGACGAAAAAAGATAAAGTAGATTTCATTATATTTCAGACCGACATATCTTTGTCAATACTTATTTTTGATATCCCTTTCACATTCTTGTCATTCTTTTGTCACTACCAATAAAGTGTATCTAATGTAATCTCTGGTTAATGGATTCACTCATTTTGCATCATCAAAATCCTGAGTGTCAGTATGCAATAAAGTAGCACAGCAGTAGTTCTAATATTGCTGCTTTCATTTTTTTTAGTTTATTATTTCCCAACAAATTGCATCTTCAATACCACAAACAAAAGTCTATTAGTCACACAGACCTTATAAGAGTAAAGCCTTTAAGTAAACAAAACAACAACTTATTCATCTTTTCCTCATCTTGTGAGCTTTGTTTTTCTGTGCAGTCTTACGCACATGTATTGAAAGGCCAGTCCCAATAAACAGAGTGCAGAGGCCCCAAGGCAGGAATTGCTCCTTCTGAAGTGCTTGGCATGACGAGGCCTTGTCTCTGCAGTTTCTGATGATGGCTCATATGAGCGTTTTCTGGGTTTAACCCTGTAGTGATGGTCATGAAGCTTCTATCTTTAACCCTTAATGACAGCAATGGGTCTGAGTTTGATGGCCTTCTTGCTGATGCCTGCATCGTGGCACGTGTTGACCACATCGGTCACGTTTTTGTAGGATTCAGGAGCCTGAGAGTCACAAGAAAACTGTTAGTTTTTCTAATAATGGTGTGAAAGACAACACTGATGTATAAATGTAAGATACCATTTTTAAAAGGAACATAAATCATGAAAATGAAATCATAAAGCTTTTTGAAGCTTCTTTAAAGTTTACTTTTAGCTTTTACAGCCAAACCCGATAAGTAACTTTAGTTCAACACAATGCACATTACCCTAAAGCACTTATACAAATCAAGCAATTGTGTCTTCTGCAAAGATGACACGTGTCCTTTCATAATTACACAGATCTCATCTAAGGCTTCTGAATGTAATTTCTCCAGCATTAAACCCAAACTCAAACAAAAACTGATTCGTGGATTATAGAAGAAACATACATTATATGGCCAAAAGTATGCAGACACCTATTTGAGAGTTAAACATCCCATTCCAAAACAATTGGTATTAATATGGAGTTAGTATCCCGCCTTTGTGGCTATAACAGCCTTGACTCTCATGAGAAGGCTTTCCAAAAGACCCTGAAATGTGGCTTTCTAAAAGACCCTGAAACATTCTGCACATTCAGTCAAAAGAGCATTTGTGAAGTCAGGCACTGATGTTGGACAAGAAGGCGTGGCTCGCAATCGATGTTACAGTTCATTCCAAAGGTGTTCAGTGGGGTTGTGGTCAGGGATCTGCTCAGGCCACTGGAATTCCTCCACACAACTTGTCAAACCATGTATTTATGGACCTCGTTTTGTGCACAGGGGCACAGTCATGCTGGAACAGGAAAGTGCCTTCCCCAAGCAGTTAGAAGCATGTAACTGTCTAAAATGTATTTGTATTCTGTAGCATTAAGATTATGCTTCACTGGAAACAAGGGGCCTAACCCAAACCCTAAAAAACGGCCCCAGACCATTATCCCTCCTCCACCAAACTTTACTGTCGGCACTATGCATTCCAGTAGGTAGCGTTCTCCTGACATCTACCAACCCAGATTCATCCATCAGACTGCCAGATAATGAAGCGTGATTCATCACTCCAGAGTGAATTTAATAGGGGAGTCCACATATGTTTGACCATATAGTGTATGTGGGCTTTTGTTGTCATTCTGTTGCTCACCTCCTCCATGACTAGTTTGGGTGAAGCTACTCTGATGGCAATGCCCATGTCTGCCAGTTTATCCAAAACGTCCTGGAAGTCCAGATTCCTACGGGATTTTGCCCGGGACAGTGCTCGACCCTGAAGTTGAAAAATGCACACTTACTGTATATGCACATTCACATCCTTTTAAAAAGTGAGTCACCTTAAGCTGCTCTAAGTTCTAGAGAAGATTCAGTCATAAAATGTGCTTGTTTCATTACATGCTGCTGAATAACTTTACAAAAAAAATGTGAAAAACTAGTTCATAGGTGATGAGGCCAACAGCTCTTTACTCACAGCGCCATGGCAGGTGGTACCAAATGTCTCCGTCATGCCCTGTTCAGTGCCCGTTAGCACGTAGCTGCAGGTGCCCATTGTGCCACCAATGAGCACAGGCTGACCAGTGAGCTAGGGAGCAAGAGGAAGAGTTGCAATTTATTAATTCTAGCCTACACTGTTCCAGTATAACAGAAATTACAGAGTTACACTGTAGCCACAATACAGTGATTCTATCTGATCTGACTGAAAATAGAGAGAGCATATGTTACACTGTCTACCACTGCAGGAATGGCTGCAGTGTAAGCTATTTCCCAGACCATAGCTCCCTTTCAATGCCTCAATGTGCTGCACTGCCTGATCTTAAGGCTGGGTGAAGATGATAACAGTTCTGTCTTTGGCCATTATTTTGGCAATACAAAAAAAATCTTGATCAAACCACAAAGTCATCAACCATTTTTACAGGGTGAAAGATGTAAACATGGATGACTGGATGGTAGATCATAAAGCAGTACTAGAAATCTAGCACTAGTTAGTAAAGAATACCACACTTTAATATAACAATTGTTGTGAGAGAACAAGTTCAGACTGTAGACTTCAGGACTGTGTTACCTGGTAGTCGACCGCAATGAGGGGGTGGTGAGGGGGAAAAGCTCTTGTGGAGCCTTTGCGATGCACCAGCAGTGTCTTCTGTTTACCGTCCACCATGTGCTCCTCAACCTTAGCGATGTTATGGGACACGTCATAAATCACATGCATATCCAGATCATCTGGTGTAGTGCTGAACACTTTGGAGAAGGCCTGAGAAACACATTGTATGAACACAGTAATCAGCATCAGCCAGAGTACAAGAGACTAATACCTAAGATTGACCCTTAGAGCCACAAGCTGTTCTTGGGTTTATTCTGCAACCCTTATATTTAGGCTCACAGATGACCAATTTCTGACTACAGTATGTAAGTGTTGCATGTCTATGGAATCCACAGAATCTAAACTAGATGGAAGTATCATTTACATATCCCTGGGATGCAGTATAATGGTTAATGATATAAATGAAAAAACAAAATAAACTACAAACCCAATTCCAAAAAAGCTGAGAAAGTATTTGACATGCTAAAAAAAAAATATATATAAAACTTGAAGTTAAACCATTGCCGACCCTGGCTTTTGGACTTTTGGTAACACCAGTAACAATCTGGGTTTTCCTCTACCGCTTTGGCACAGAGAGCAGAAAGTCCATTATTTACAGTGTGAAAGGTGGGCTCGTCAGACCACAATACATGTTTCCACTGTGCATCAGTCCATTTCAGCTGAGCTTGAGCCCAGAGGACGCTGTTGACGCATGGATTCCACTGTGTATGGTACAATCTTAATTTGCATGTATTGATGCATCAATGGATGGTGTTTATCAACAAGGTTTTTTCAAAGTATTCCTGAGCCTATGTGGTGATGTCCGTCACAAAAACATGTTTTTAATGCGGTGTCGAGAGGTCGAAGATCATGGGCATTTATATGCGGTTTTCAGCCTTTTCCTTTACACACTCTAGATTCTCCAGATCCAAATGATTCTCTGAATCTTTTGATGTTATTATGCACCGTAGAGGGAGAAATACCTCAAATCTTTGTAATCCCTGGCTGATGAATAATTTTTTTTAACTGTATAATCTTTTGCCATTTTCAACCCCAGGAAAAGTCCCGTTGTAGTAGAGAGTGAATGCACAGGCAACAGGGGTGTAATGATACACGATTCAATTCGTTTCTCAGTACTGGGTTGGCAACTCCGTATTCACAGTATTCTGAACAAAATTCCAATGAAGAAAAAGATGAATATATGTTATCGCGCAAAAATGAACATGCTGGTGTGGACTGCTGAAGGGTGCTGGCTGTTTGCAAACTTGCTCAAACAGTGCAGTTGTACGATTATATCTCTGTGATGCACACGGTCACATTTTTGCAACACATTTTTTATTTTGGGTCTCATCCAAACCCCAGTGCTACTAGATATAATTCCCTGCTCAACTAATAAGCATTTACTGGACATTCAGCATGTAGTCGGGATGGGCAATATGGCAAAAACATTATATCACAATATTTTGTCACAATACACAATATGCACCACAATATTCAGTTTTTCTGAGACTTAATAAGTTGGAATAGACAAAATAGAACCTGTAGTGCCACAAATAATAATAATAATAATAATAGTAATTATGATTATGATTATTGTAATAATTATGTAGGGTGTGATGGATGAGACACAGCATGTGCAAAGTAAATGAAGTGGTAAGCTCACCTGGCGTGTGAGGAAGGTCATGGATGAGCGGTTGACCCATGCATAGTTTCCTGCAGCAGCCATGCCCTTCAGATAGTCCTGACCCTCAGGGGAAGTGATGTGAGCGCAAGCAAGCTGACGATCATTTACGACGATGTTATCTCGCTTCATCGCCTTTTCCATGGCAACCAAAGCATCTACACAAAACCACAAAGAGAGCAATGCTTAGACACGCTTCCTGCCCTCAAAACACACATATAGAGTTAACCCTTAAAGTTGTGAATGCTTAAGCATTATGGGAATTTCTGCATAAGTGTGACCTAAAATGAGAACAGATCTTTATTGATGTCATAACAACAGATAAAGAGAACCCATTGAATTAATAACACAAGCAATTATATAACTTTTCATTAATTTATCGAACAAAGTTGACAAAACTACACCTCTAGAATTATCAGTTAGGTATAGGTGGTAAATAAGGTCAAGAGGTTCAATTAATTGGATGACAACAAGGTGAGAGTGTGGCTGACCCTACCCTATATAAAAAAGCTTGAGTCTTCACCATCAAAGTCTGGTCTTTATCAAACATTCTTTAGTGTTATGTTTTGCAAAAAACAAAAACTGCATTCCAGCATAAGAACTTCATCCCAACTGTGAAACATGGGGGCAGCAGTATCATGTTTGTTTTATTGGGTTCTTTTTATCTATTGTTATGACTTAAATGAAGATCTGATCACATTTTAGGTCACATTTATACAGAAATTAAAAAAAATTCTATTGAGTTCACAAACTGTCCAGGACCTCTGCATCTATTGTCATAGCTCTACAGAATACACCTGCTATTTTGTGAGCTAGGCAATAAGGAATGAAAAAGCTTTATGTTAAGCTTATGTTGCTGAGTATTTGCTAGGTGGAGTTCTGAACCTAAAGGGTGCATCATCACCTGGGATTGGTGATAAAACTGTGTACCTTTGCCATACATTTCACTTTATGTTCTTTTCTAACAAACAAACTTCAATTCTAGTGAGATTTTGTTTGTGGCGTTTTTAATTTACACCAAGTGCGTGCTGTCTATGATGATGTTTTTAACACAACACGGTTAACACCAATTAATACCAATTTAACACACATTTAGTACAACACATAGTAGTAAGTCACACATCACTTGCAGTTTACAAAATAATAATGTGTCTCAGCAGAAGCCCTCTCCACCCTCCCAACTTTGTAGCACTGTGTGATGGGGGAGACCAGAGGGTGGGATTCGCCACAACAAAATTAGGAGGAAAAAAAAAAAATCAGTAAGAATCCAAAAGAAAGAGAGAAAAAAAGAAGGGAGCTAATCATTTAAAAAGCAAATATTACACAGGCATAAAACATGAGCCTTCTTGTCATAGGAAAGCTTTAACCCTTAAATGCACGAGTGTTTCCTCAAACTTGGGTTGTTAGTGACTGGCATTTATATCAAAACACACAGTGATTTACCATCTGCCATCATGCTGAAATTGATAAAAAATATTAAACATATTTTGTTGTATTTGGAAAAAATGGATTATGTAAAGACGAATGTGGTCATCAGTTGCTAACATGTTGCAATGCAATTAAGGTTTAAGAGAGCACCCACCTGTGGCTACCTGGTGTCCCAGACCACGACTCCCACTGTGAATCATCACACACACTTGGCCTTTGTGATCAATGCCCATCTTTTTGGCTGCATAGTCATTGTAGATCTCATCAACCACCTGGATCTCAGCATAGTGGTTACCTGCACCCAGTGTCCCTAACTGCAGCACAACACCAACCAGACACACACAGTCAGCACAAGCAGAGCCCAGAGCCCAAGAACAGCAGCTTCATGTGTCATGTATTTACCCAACCCAGTTGTGTACCTGTGGCAGTCCTCTCTTCTTGGCCTTAGAGGAGACCTTGTTTGGGTCAGCCTGCAACATCCGGCCATATTCCTCACAGTGCTCTTTATCCTCTGCCCAGGCGTAGCCCTCCCGCAGAGACCAGTCCACCCCCATCTCAAGGGCTTCCTCCAAATCTCTATATAAACACATGCAATATTCACTTCAGTATCCAACATTCTCCTTATTGTGTCATTTAACCATTTAACCTACCAATTTTTGTACATCTCTGTAGAATTCAACCGTTAAAATATTAGTAAAAGTCATTTAGAGTGGTATGACATGAACTGTGACATTTCAGAGAAACATTTTTTTTTAAAGAGCAGAGGTAATAGGAACAAGATGTTAGAAGCATTTAATCTATCTAAAAGCAAGATCACAGGATGTTATTACATGAAATGGTTACCCATTTGCATTTTTAAAATTCATTTATGGCAGAGTGATATATACAGAGTGTTCTGAGGCAAAATAGCACAAAAAAAAGGACTTACCACCATTTTACAATTATCAACCTAGAATGGTTATAAAATATGCATTGCCTGTTTCTCTGCAATGTACCATTTCACATCAAACCACTCTGGATGATTTTGTCAACATTGTAACTTGAAAATTTGAGATGTGCAGAACTTTTTCTCAAAATTGGGGGAACTCAACTTTAATGCAGGGGTGATGTAATACATACTAGGGTACACCAGGGCTCGTTACTGTTTCAAATAAAGCATGCTCACTAACATTAAAAAAAGTTTTGTTAACCTGATATAAAAGAATATGTACTTGTTCAAGCTATGGTGTCATGCTTGACAATAATTAATGATTTTAGATCACAGTGTCTAATCACGTAGCAGCATTTTCTGCTTTATCAAAAGGAAAAAGGAAAAATTACAAAGAAAAACAAAATCTTGTGACACAACTGCATTTCTCAAAGACGGAGAAGAATCACAAGAACGATGTCTTTCAACATTGTAATACATATATAATTATACATAAGTGTAATACATATAAAAATTGTAATCACATTTTGTAAACATTTTTTTCTTAGTTGATGTGATTAGAGAATATTAAAGAAAAAAAAAATTCTTTGCATTTACATACTGTCTAAGGCTATGTGACAAAACATGACAAGCGGCAAGTTCTGATCTACCTTGAGGAACTGAAAACCTACATGTTAACCTGTTATCATACTAACTCATCAAATCTGAGACAAGAAACAGGGTATAAAAATGATTAAGCTTTTAATCTGTCTGTTATTAGCTGGTAAGTTCCATCTTTGGGGTAGTCATGGACTGGAGGTTAGGGAACCAGCCTTGTGACCGGAAGGTTCGATCCCCTGAGCCGACAGTATGTGACTGAAGTGCCCTTGAGCAAGACACTTGCGGATAGGGCTGCCCACCGCTCCGGGCAATTGTGCTCACTGCCCTCTAGTGTGTGTGTGTTCACTAGTGTGTATGTAGTGTTTCACTACACAGATGGGTTAAATGCGGAGGTGAAATTATAAGGGTTTCTAATAAGGGTTTCTTAATCTTTATTATCTTGGCTTGTAAAGCATGTAAATGGTGTGGTTTTTGTTTACTTGGCATTCATTGGAATGACGCCTTTGGATCCCACTCCTACAGGGATGTGGTCAAACAGTGCCTGAGCCAACTGCTCCTTCACTGGCTGCACATCTCCCTCATCCAGGTTAGTCCTCAGTAGACGCACACCACAGTTAATGTCAAAACCGACACCACCTGCACAGGGCAACCACAACGTTAGCCACTTCTCTCAGTTCATACCATCACAAGATGGTTTGGAGTTTCAGTATTTATTTTCATCTGTCTACTCTAATATTTATCACTGCATCACTGAAATGATGTGAACTGTTTTCCTTTCCATAAATGATTTGGGTTCCACTTACCTGGTGAGACAACCGCTGTGGGGTCACTCATGTCAAAAGCAGCCATGTTTCCAATTGCAAAGCCATATCCAGAGTGAACATCAGGAAGGCCCACAGATCTCTATGACAGATACAGTACATAACACAAAATAAACACTGGCAGCCATCAGCAAAAATCTCACGTCATTTAGCCAAAACCCTAAGAAGTAATGTAGTAATGTATCTACAACAAATGATATGCTTACGTGCACAATTCCTGGCAGGGCTGCCACATTTCCGATTTGCTTCATTGCAGGCAGAAACCCTCCAAAGCCTATGAACACAAAACATTAGCTGAACATCATATTTACTGCCTCACACCACTCAAGGGTTGTTTTTATGGATGAATGCTGAGTGAACTGACTGTACCTCCTCCACGACATGCATTTCGCAGCTCCTCAAACATTAACTTCTCCAGAGAATCGTTGACATAGAACACACCCTCCACCTAGCGATTTCAGCACACATTACATATCAGCGAGGGCACAGTAACCCTGTACTAATGTGACCAAGAGTTCATGGATCACTGAATGGGAATTACACTGATTTTACCAAATTTCTTCAGCATGCACTTATCGAGAGGTAAACAGAGTCATTCATAGTGTTTTGAGGTGAAATGGTTCAATGCAGAGAAATTTACTGACTCAGATTTTGTTTACAGTGGAGGTGACAGGAACCAGGGGTCACAGTTTCTGTAGAACATAGCATTTTCATCAGACCACTCTGAGTGACTTTAGTTTACATATTAACCATTTAAATTATATAGAAATTTCAAAAAGTCTGTGGGATTCTCCATCACAGAAATAATCGTGTTTTTTCCTACCAAAACATTTCCCCCCTCTTTTGGATAAGTTGATGTTTTTCTGTGAAATGCAGGACTGTAAAGCAAGATAGGCCTTCATATAGCCAACACAGACAGCAATATATTCTGCTTCGTGCAGCGTATTTTATAACAGCTATCATCATACTGTAAAACCTGTTCAAGAACAGAACTCATGTAATCTCCTAAATTGTTATATCACTGCTCTGTACTATTATGACTGTTAAAGGCAGTGACTTGTTTCTCTGTAATCAGCTTCCTCCCTCTCCCTGTTTGAGGGAGAACACTGGACTCCTCCTCCTTTAATGGGAGCCACACATCCACAGTTAACAGCCTTCACAGAGTGTTTTCATTTGGAGCTTCAGAAGCTGACTTGGTTGTGTGATTCTGAACGGATGAGCGATGATATCCACTCCACTGCACTGCACTCTGCCACAGTAGCACTGGGCAGCAGCGCCCTCGCAGTCAAGCTGACTACGTGGCTTTATGGCACTAAAACTAAAAATGGCCCAACCGAACCGGAGAAACGCGCAGGACCTACACTTTAAAACGTTAGAGTCTGACGGTAAGAATATGCCAAAACCACCCATGTTTAAACAGTTAGTTAGCCTAGGTTAGCTAGTTAGCTAATATATTAACCTACCTAGTTTAAATAGCATCGCTAAGTGCTGAACCGGTTCCTTTTCACCAGCTCCTTCTCCGTTCCACCTTAAATGGTGCAGAGGTTCTCTTCTGCCGCCTGAGGCCCGAGACATCAGAATGAACCTGCCCGCACTATTTAAGGTGGAACGGGGAAATTCGAATAAGAAGCGAACTTCAGCCTCGGTCTTTCTCCGTAAACAGACCCACGTTTCTGTACAGAGCGGCTCGGTTACCTGCATGTTTGGGACGAAGCCCTTCTTGATTCGCCAGCAGTTCTTGCTGATCTTATCGAGAAACTGTAACTCATCGTTGTACGATCGACTCATTCTGATAGATATTCAGCGTCTCAAACTAATGACTGGAATATTCAGTCAGCTCCCGTCTCTGAGAGAGAAGGTAGAGAGGGCGTGCTATTCTTCTTCTCTTCATTCACTGACTTCTGAGTGAAGTGAACTCTGCCCTCTGCGCATACCGCCCCCTGCTGCTCTGAGGGGAATCTACAGCACTGCGTTCTTATAGGAGCGGGTGTAGTGCAAATCGTTGGTAGACAAATATATACACATACTTACGCTAATTCTCATTACCGCAGTGTGTCGACATACTTTCTTATTACTGTTATTATATATGTGTTTTTCACCTTTTTAGAAAAAAGTTTGTGTCACTTTTAACTGTTGAATCATTCAACTTTAATGCTATTTGTGTGTACTCTGGTGAACTCTAAGAAAATGAACTAAAACAACAAAATGTTTTGTGGCACAAGCAAAATGAAAAAAAAAATCAATGGCTGTCAGTGTGTTGTGGAAATGAGATAAAAGTTCAAAATTATATATTATGAGCGTATTTTGTTACATACATACTTAGTCCGACAACAGCATACAGATTATAAAAAATGGAGAAAAAAAATTGAAAAAAACGTTTACATCAATTTCTTACATTAAAATCTTACTTACTTGCTTTAAAACAATTCGGTCACTTAAACACGAAAATGTTACCTAAATCTGTTTAAAATAAATTAGATTCTTCAAGTTCGCTTTTCAGTATTCAATCAGGAATCATTTAGTGTATCCAAAAAAGAAGGAAAAGCTGGGTCCCAGTGTTTTGTTATTTTGGTGAGAAAAACCCAACTAATACTTTTATTATATAAAAACGGCACCGGTTTCCGCCTTCACGGTGTCAAAATTTGTGACGTCGATATCAACAAACTTCAGGTAACGCTGAACACATCTCTCTTAAAAAGCACTTAAAACCTTAGCTGTACCTAACTAGAGTGGCACTTTGGTTCGTACTGTGTGTTAAAACAGACTGTCGGTTAAACAAGCTAGCAAAGCACAGCCAGGTTAGCTACATAACGTTGGCTTTCGACCGTGCATCTGTCTGTCAGCGAGCTGGACGGCCAAGTGTCATTCTTTAGAAATGGAGCGATTAGAGCACAGCAGCAGTTCAGATATAACGACACAGTGACCAGGGACTCCTATCATATACTGGGTACACTGAACCATACATGAAGCTGAGGTCAGCTTTTAGTTTGAATATTTCTGCTCCACCTTAAATGGTGCAGCACTTATTATTGTAACGCCTCAGGCGCCTGAACGTAGTTAACTGCTGCACCGTTTAAGGTGGAACGAGAAAATTCTATGACAGTTGTATGAAACTACCATGACTAAATCCCAGAAGGCTGTCTGTAGTACACTACTTGATACAGAAGCTATTATTTCATTTGTAGTGCACTACACAGGGAATAGGGAGTCATTTGAGATTGAGCGTGTGATAACTGTAGTTTTTCCTATGCAGTATGAAATTAAGAGTGAGAGTCAACAAGCAGACCAGCCGTGTGGAGCTGGAGGGAGCAGAGCCCACTCTGACTGATCTCACTGTCCAAGTGAAGGAGGTGGTGTTGCCTTCGATTGGTCTCAGGTTAGTTTTTGTTTACACAGGCACATTGTCTGAAGTGCTTTGGCTGTGGTGCTGAATTCGGACAGGTCAGGTTTAAGAACCTCAGATTCATTAGGTGACTCAGTAGACGGCCTGAGTGAAATTTAATCACTTTTCTCCATCTAGAGTTCCTCTGGTTTGTGCATGGGTGTGTTTGTGTTGTGTCCCTCCTGCAGTGCGGATACAGAGTTCAGTCTGTCTCTGAACGGGAAAGAGCCGCTGGTGGACACAGGGCAGACGCTGTCCTCATGTGGGGTGGTGTCTGGGGACATGATCAGTGTGATTCTCCCTCAGAGCAGTGCTTCCTCCTCTCAGCCACCACCGCCTTCTTCCCTGACTAACAGCAGAGCAGCAGTTCAGCACAGCACACAGGAAAATCACACTGTGTCCATCATGCAGAGCTCCAGTGATGAAGTGAGTACTGCCAACACCTTTAAGAAGTAAGACAGAAACACTCCAAACAAGTGCTAGTGATGGTTACTTGTCCAGAACAAAGAGTGTAGAATAAAGAGGTGTTCTTTTTCAGGTCATTTTTCAGAGTGATTGGACAGTTGTGTATTAGGCTCTGTGTTTTTCTGTGCACATTTGTGGTTTGTGGTATCTGATTGTAGTTGATGTAAAGTACTATTTAAATATAATTATTTCATATATTATACTATAATTTAGCAATCTATTCAATATAAATAATGCAATGCCTGGAATACTGTGCTAACTTATTAAAATGTCTGCGCTTACTCAGAAAAGAAGGAAAGTGGTTTCCACTGAAATGAAAGTGAAATCACAGTGATAGCTTCGCTTCTGTATAAGCCCTGACTCAGGCATGTCTCAGCTGTGATGCAGGGTGCTTTCTTTCTAGTAAAGCAGGTTGAGACATTTCAAGTTGTCTGTGTATTTAATCTTTGATTGTGACTGTTGTGTGCATCTCAGTTTGATTCAACTCTATTGACAACTAAAAACACTGTTGCATAGTATTAGAGCTGCACAATGTAAAGTACACTCTTAAAAAAGATGGTGCTTCAAGAGAAGAAAATGGTTCTATATAAAACCATGAGCACTCAAAGAACTCTTGCGTGATTAAATGGTTATTTGGATGATAAAAGCGTTCTTCAGACTGTTGGAGAATTTGCTGTGGACAGTTTTATATAGATCCTTTTTGAAAAGGGTTCTATATGTCACCCAAAAGGATTCTTCTATTGTTACAAGATTGACATCGTAACAATACAATAACCTTTTCGGTGCTATATAGAACCTCCTATAGCACATTCTCCATCAGTCTCAAGAACCCTTTCATGATGCAAAAAACCCTTCAATCATGCAAAGAGTTCTTTGAGTGTTAAAGCACCATCTTTATTAAGAGTGTAGGGCTGCATCAATTTGGGAATCATTGGCTAATGCCAAAATCCAGTATTCTTCATGTACATATCTGCTGGTGCAGATGCATAAATTGTAGAAAGTGGGACTAGATCAGTCTTGACTAGTATTACAGTAGAAATATAACATTTATTTGTAGAGGGTGCAATAAATTGAATACAGTTCATATATTTAGCACAGTAGCTCAGCATCACCTTAACATTTTGCTCTTCCAGAGTACAATAAATGCAAAATCAATAATTGATTGGAAATTTCAAAATCTAAACATCTATCTAATGCCGACAAATTTGTTTACTGGTCTGCATTAGTTTGACCATATATTTAACATTAACGCCTTGATTCATCAGAACACCGAGAAACACTCATCTGGAACTGTGATTAGTCAAGATGATCACAGCGCACAGTTAAAACATTGTGACTGGTTGGAGGGCCCATTTACATATTATAGCCTTCTGTTCTATCAGTATTGTAAAAAGCAAGCATGCAGGCAAATAAACAAAGCTAACAAACAATATACTGAGCAGCCTTACACAGAATGGCTAATAAACCTGTCACTTTAACACATGACTGTGCTGCCTTTCTTCAGGCAGACACCAGAAGCAGCCACAGTGGCAGAGAGAGAACATATAATCCAGAGACCGAGGAAAAGCTGGAGAAAGGGGAGGAGGAGGAGGAGGCAGTGGGGCCTTTTGTCCCTGAACCCATGTTGTGCTGTGAGGCTGAGCAGGGGAAGGTTCCTCATTCTCTGGAGATGCTCTTCAAGGCTGCGCAGTGCAACAGCTCATCAGACTGCCTGCTGGTGGCTGCACATTTACTGCTGCTGGAGACTGGCTTCTTGCCACAGGTCAGAGCTCACACAGGACACAGGTTTTGGTCAGGCTAGCATTTATCAAGCATTTTGGGACCATGGTGGGAAATATGTAAAATAGTCTACTGTGTAGGGGGTGTATGAGAGCAGGTCACAATGCTAAATGGTTAAAAAGACTCGATTGTTAGGCAGTAATTTGAATAAAGTTATTTTTTGCTGCATGTAGCCCACTATTTATTATTTATGTTTTATCTTCAAACTCCCAAATGTTTTAGGTCAGCATCATGCCTCATGTGATTCTGATTGTCATTCTGTTTATGATTTTATAAGATTTATATGGTTTGTGTGACATTTTTGTGCTTAAGCTACAGAATAATTCGACCTGTAAGTAGACAGTGAATCTGGACACTCACATGTTCTTGTTTGTATCTCATATCATGATGCAAGAAAACTTTCAGCCAGCTAGCTCGCCTGTGCATTTTTAAAGGAGGAATTTGCTGAAGACAACGTGTAATGTAGCATTTTGATGCTATTTTGGTTATTTTGAACAACTTCCGGTAAATTATTATGGGCTATTTCATATCTGCATGTTGGAGCAATATATAGATTCACAAAGAGTAAAATTCCATGTATATGTGTTTGTGAACATGTCCTTGATAATACAAACGCTACTATTTTATTACACCAACAAAGAAACTATGTAAAAGGAACTAAATAATTTTTTTCTTCTTTTTTCTGTTTGGTTTTGCAATGTTAGGAATAAACAGATTGATTTGTTTATTCTGGTTTTGAGC